AAGACCATCAGGCTCAAAATGTACCATTAAAATTGTTTATGGCTCAATTCAAATAAATGAAAATACGACTGAGTAAAAAACTTTCTTTCAATGATTTGAAAATGATACATTGTATTAGACCTACTGTTTCAAAGCACACAATTTAATAGCAATAACAAAAATTATCGTTGAACAAATAACTGTTTTCAAGATTTTTGTTCTATACCCAAATTCACTGGTGAAATCTCAAATTCAACTAGAGGGGCAACTTAGATCTGCATAATTGTTTGTTACTTAATATATTCTTACATAATCTCATTTGATCTTTAAGGTATCTGGAAATAGTAAAGTAATAACTGTTAATTCCACGTTGCAAGTGAAAAAATGTCTGTGATTGGTTTGATTTTCAGGAGATCTTACAACGAGCAAGGCTGAGTCAAACTTTAAATCAGATCACTGATTCTTTTTTTTTTTTTTTTTTTTGGAGTTGGAGTCTTACTCTGTCACCCGCCTGGAGTGCAGTGGCCGCTCCTGGCCACCGCAGCCTCGACCTGCTGGGCTCTGGCGATCCATCTGCCTCAGCATTCCAAGTAGCTGGAACTACAGGTGCGTGCTACCACGCCCGGCTGATTTTTTGATTTATTGTAGAGATGAGGTCTCGCCAAGTTGCCCAGGCAGGTCTCGAACCCGCGGTTTCAGGCAATCCACTCACCTCAGCCTCCCAAAGGCGCAGGATTGCAGGCTGAGCCACCGAGCGGGGCAGATCACTGATTCTTAATGTAGATATTGACATGTTTGTTTTTCTTCTTTAAATACAACTTTGTTCATTGAATTGTAAGCTCTGCATCACTTTAGTTGTGTATGTGCGTATATGTGTGTGTACATATGCTTCTGAATTCCACAAGTAGATTATTTTAGAAGGCACACAGACTCAGGAAACAAAGAAAATAAGGGGGGAATAAATAGCTTTTTTGGAGATAAAACTGCCATATTTATATATTAAATACAACATATCAACTTTATTGTAAAAAGTTTCTATTTCCTCTTAGATGTTACAGAGTGCCAGATTTAGAGCTTATAAATATGCCACTAAGGAGTTCAAAATATAATTCTAAGGCTACTACTCTATTATGTTTACAATATATGAGATGACTGGGATTTATATAGTCAGATTTGGCAGCTTCATACATGCTTATTTGACCAGGGAGATATATCAAGTTTAGAACTCTCACCCTAAGAATAAGGCAGTGGTAATCTGCATTTGAACATTACAGAGTCAGACTTGAATAAGATGTTTAATGCAGAATACTTGCAATTTGCCAAGGCCATTTTTTTTTAATCTTCATGCATTTTTTTCTGCATTTTGTCTTGGAGATTGCTCCATGGGTTTATCAGGTTATCATAATCCAATATTTAATTATTTCATTTTTCTATCAGAAGAAATTTTGACACAATAATTAGAGCTTAATGTTGCTTATCATTCTGTAAGCGCATTTATGGAAATAGCAAAATCTAATAGGTAGGTTTCAATAATTCATAACATTGGCTGAAACAAAAAAATCAACTCATGCTTGATAAAATAAGACAGCCTATTAGTAGGCTTAAATGTACACCTAATATTTATTTGATAGCGACTTTTATTCGTGTTCATTGTAGATGTTAGTGAAGATAGGTGATGATTCCGTGCATGCTAAAACATAATCTTTTCCTTTATCACCCCCTGGATGACACAATCAGTTATATAAATGTACTTTGAAAAATGCATTCAATTTGATAACCAAAACTAAGAAAAGACCTAGTGGTAGAAGATGACACTCTTCCCCCTTCCTCCCTCTCTCTCGCCCTCCCTTCCTTCCTCCCTTCATCAATCAATAAATAATCAATCTTTTATTCCTCAACATTGATAAACGAGGTACCTAGTATAACCCAGAATCTATTTTAGTCACTGATCATAAAAGTAACATAGATTCCTGCCCTTTTTGTGAGTTTATATTTTGTTTTGGGTAGTTAGGGTTATTAACTTCCTCCAGAAATTGTTTGGAGCTTAAGGAATGTCTTGCTACAATCAAGTTGTTAGAAAAGATTTTTAAAGATCAAGATTTAAAACAATAATAGAATACACAATAATAGTAGAAAACTGACTTTGACCAGAATTAGGGGCAGAGGTGAAATAAGCAGACAAGTTCCCAGTGCTGTCTCTAGCACTTTCTAGTTACACAAGTCACTTACCCTTTACAGTTAGTGTTTGCCCAAAAGTAAAAGAGAAATGGTTATGTCTAATTTATAGGGTAGTGGTAAGAATTGAATAACACCACAGGACAATGTGCAGCATGTAACAGGCACTTCCTAAACAAAAACTTCTGAAAACTGAGAATTAGAATGGATACAAGTGAGTGTTCTCTCTCCCCTGGGGAGGGGAGACCTCAAGATCTGAAGGACAAACACTTGTTGAAGCGGTCACGGAGAACATTACACGGCTGAGTGACATTAAAATCCCAGTGAGATATGTGCTATATTTCTACATGAGGGGAGACACAAACAAACTCAGAATTATCTTTTGGAGGGCGGGCGCTTGTGGTACAGGCTTCCCCGCTAGGTAAGTGTTCCAGACACCATCAGTATCTGTGTACCAGCTAGCTGGTTGTGAGGGGCTGTTTGGTTTCAGTGAATTTTGGTGGGAGAATCTTTCAACATGTTCTCCCATTTCATGATGGGTAGTTTATGAAGGTACCTGCCCACACCGCACTGAGTGTTCAGCAGTTTTTGACCAAAAATGACATGACCCCATGCTCCACCCTCCCTATTCATCCGATCTTGCCCCAAGCAAATTTTTTGTTTGTTTCCTCAGATTTAAAAAATCCTCCAAAAGAAACATTTTACTGATGTGGAAGAAGTGAAACTAACAAACAAAACCGACGGAAGCACTAAAAGGCATCAAAATGGATGAATTCAAAAATTGTATTGTGCAGTGGAAAAAGTATCTCAGTTGGTGTATTGCATCAAATGGAGAGTACTTTGAAGTTGACTGAAGTTTAGACATGTAAGAATAAATACACAATTTTTTATAAATGAATTTCAGGGTCTTTTGGGTCCCCCTTCTTAGATAAAAAATAGTGTGACCTTGCCCAGAAGAAACAAAGAATTCATTTATTTTCCCAATCTTTACTAATGCTAACAATGCTTCATTGAATGACTAATTTAAAAAATAAGAAATAAGCCGGGCTCGGTGGCTCAGCCTGTCATCCCGCGCCTTAGGGAGGCTGAGGTGAGTGGATTGCCCGAGCCCGCGGGTTCAAGACCCGCCTGGGCAGCGAGACCTCATCTCTACAATAAATCAAAAAATCAGCCGGGCGTGGTAGCGCGTGCCTGTAGTTCCGGCTACTTGGAAGGCTGAGGCAGAAGGATCGCCAGAGCCCAGCAGTTCGAGGCTGTGGTGGCCGGGAGTGGCCACTGCACTCCAGTCTGGGCAACAGAGTGAGACTCCAACTCAAAAAAAGAGAAAGAAATAAGGCTGGGCTTGGTGGCTCAGCCTGTAATCCCAGCACTTTGGGAGTCCAAGGCCAGTGGATTGCCCGAGCCTTTGGGTTCGAGACCAGCCCGAGCAACTTGGTGAGATCTCATCTCTACAATAAATCAAACATTAGCCAGATGTGGTAGAGCGTGCCTGTAGTTCCGGCTACTTGGAAGGGTGAGGTGGACGATTGGACAGAGCCCAGCAGGTTGACGCTGGGGTGGCTGTGAGTATGCCACTGCACTTCAGCCTGGGCAACGGAGTGAGACTCCAACTCAAATTTTAAAAAAAGAAATATTTTTTCATCAGAAAATGTTTCAGTGTTACTATTAATGTAGCCTGATTTTTTTGTACAGAGGCCAAAATAATACTTCTTACAGGAATTAACATGGGCTTACAGTATATGGTTAAACTATTCCATACTGCTAACTTCTTAATTCGACTTAGCATATATGAAAACTTGAAAGGAAATCAAAGTACATTTCAATTACACTGTGCTCTCATGAGGAAGGAAATGCCTTTTCAGTCACACTAAAGCAAAGATAGGTATTAGTTGCCATTTGCAAAATGTCCTATGTAATGTTAAAAAGAAATATCATTGTGAAAAATTTAATGAGTAATGTCTGTTGGTAACTACAGAGTATGTAAATGTGGTGCCAGTGAATTATCCCCTAAAGATGCCAAATTCTCTGCCATATCCTGTCTTTCACTCTAAGGAGTTTGCTGCCAGCTTTGCTTATTCTTCATTTCGTGCTCCAAACTCTTGAAGAAAGAAGAAGAAGAAGAAAAAAAAGTCCCAGAGCATTCTCAAGGGGGTTTCATTGGGATTAGAGCCAAAAATCACAGATCTGTCTCCTGGGATCCCTTTAGACCCTGGCTGGAGAAACCATCGTGGAAACAAGTTCATATCTCCGTCGTGGGCTGTGAGCCAGAACAGTCAAGAAAGAGCTCACCTGGGTTCCTACATCAGAACTATTTGAAATCCACAGAGAACTATGTAAGGCCTCCGGTCTGCTGTGATTTCCCATCTTGACAGCTCAGAAGCATTTCTAAGACTCCCGTTATTTTCCTAAAGGCAGGATGTGGGGGGCACTGGGAGAGAGGCGGAAAGACTTGGGAGCTTAAATGAAGCTGATGAACAATTTTTTTTTTAAAAGGCAGCTAGCTGGGGGTTCCAGTCAAAATTAAGTCACTGCTTTTCCTTGCTATTCTACATAACAGAGTTCTCTCCAATTCTCTTCTCAACTGGCTTTTAATCAGCATGCCTTTAAATAGTCTAATATCTAGCTCCTAATCTTAAAGATGTTTAACATCTAACATAGCACTGTTTATATAATTCTACTTACATATCTTTCCTCTATTATCAAAGAAAGGTGTTCATTCTAATTCAGTCTTTTTGTTAGAAGTGAGATATTTATGCAAAAAAGACCCAAATCCTTAAATGGCTGAGTTTAGGGTTGAAAACAACATTTGCTGAACATACACCAAAGCAGGGCTTATGACTACCTACTTTTAGTGACAACACCTTCCAGGCGGATGATATTGGGATGGTCAAACTGTCCCATGATGCTCGCTTCTCCCAGAAAGTCTCTCCGCTGCTTCTCTGTGTAGCCCACTTTCAGGGTCTTGATGGCCACTGAAATCTCCTTTTTTGAAGGAAGTTTTAAGCGACCACTGCACACTTCTCCAAATTCACCTGTTAGAATGCAGAACAACAGCAACACAATGTAAGAAATTACATCAGTAGAGAGCAAATGTTTTCTCCGTGACAAATATTTTTGCCCTTGACCTGTAGGACATACACTGCAGTGCTCCAAATTATTTTGGGAGAGAGTGCTATGAGACTTCCCAGGAAATCTCAGTCTGTCCACATCCTGGTGGAAAATGGACCTCGTGAAAAGCTCCCACTATCTTAAAGTGTCACCCAGTGAAGAATGCAATATGAAAAAGAAGAGATACATGGAGAGTGGCATGTCTGCACGTCAGGCACACTTTTGTCTTGTGTTCCCAGACCTATCGTTATCTCGGGGTAATTAACAGGATAGCACAGAGAGTGATTAAATCTGAGCACTGGATTAAAATTCAGATGTTTTCACTATTCAGTTTTGACCACGAGGACCAAATTGGCTGTTTACTGAGACTCTCTGAAAACAAGAGACAAAGCATCTGCTAGCAATTTATTTTATTGGAGTATTGGTGTGTTGCATTATTGACATACTAGCTATAAAGTTCTCTGGGCTTCTGGGAGGAGAACAACAATATAACAGTATCAAATAAAAATAGTATGTCTTATTTAAAGACTGACTGCAGATATATTTTCTTAGCTTCAATGTCTTCAATAAAAAAGTCTGCCTCAAATGTGCACTTTATCCAGCAATTGTTGGTGTGTTGCTGACTTTTAAATATTCTAGTCCAACTAATATAAAATTGCCTAGAACTAGCATGGGTGCGCCCTTAATATACATTGTTACCGAGAGGTGTATCCATCACTCTATCATTAGATTTTGCACTTCCTAGAGCAGACAGCTTTTCCTTTCGTTTCTCTGTTCCCATGCTGCCATCATGCTTCCCACCGAGGAGGGCCACAGAATGTTCCCGGTTCACAGAACTTCTAATATTGTGAGGATTATTAGATCTGTTTTGTACCACATTAGAAATAGTTTTTAATTTCGAATGAGTTTTTTCCTAAAATATTCTAGGATTGATGATATCATTAATTTTTTTGGCTCTCAGTGGAATGGAATAACATTCTTGGTCCAATGTTCTCACTGTGAGTTTTCCATGAAGCCTCATACTCTATGCACCAACCAGAGATATGATTCTTTCCTATTTTTCTGTCCAAGTAAGTGGTTTGACCCACAAAAGTAGCAGGTCGTCCTATTGATTTACCAACTACATGAGTATAAATGACTTTCCCCTCTCCAGGAAGCTTTGACCTCCCCTGACTTGACTATTTCCCAGAAATCCTATCTTACCATTGCTTTATTACTTATGCTTGGGCAAAGTCGCAAAGTCCAAAAGCAGATATTCATTCATTTATTTAACAAATATTCATACTGAGTACAGTATGGTAGACAATATGAAACACACAGAGATCTAATGGTAAACAAGGCAATACTAGTCTCTTTCCTTTGAGGAAGTGTAGAGAAATAATATTTATGACAATAGTGTTCCTTAGGGTATAGGAAGAATCAGTTAGCAGAACTTGAGACAGTTCATTGATCTTGGTCATTTCAAGGGTGACTTTGTTATTATAGATGTGGGAATATTAGAAGACAGTGAGAATATTAGAGAATACTAAGATACATTTCAAGGAAATATAGTGATGTAGATAATTATTAGAACTGGTAAGCAAGAGTACCCATTTATTTTCTTATACAGTGTTATGTGAACACCTCCAGAGAACTCCAAGTCATTTTGTGTGAACATAAATTAGGGAAAAACATATGAAGGCATCCATCATGAGCTTCAATTCTGTGAAAGGAAGTGCTGTCATTATCATAAATTAGCAGGATATACTAGATTGCATTTTAAATTCAGATGTCATCACCGCATATTCTAAGTGACTTGATAGGTCATTTTATAGAAGAAATAGTACAATGCTGTGTTAAGAGCATAGATCCTGTAGTCAAATTGCTTAGGTCCTAATTCTGATCTGTCATTTATTAGCTGTGTGATTTTCAGCAAGTAAGTTAGCACCTCTGTGTCTCTGTTTCCTTATCTATAGCTGAGGACAACAATTGTGTCTACCCCATAAAGTTATTGTGCAGCAAAATAAATTAATGTATAAGTAAGGCACTTGAAACAGTGCCAGGTACATAGTAGGTACTATCTAAATGTTAGTCACTGTTTGCCTCTCTGAGTTCAGACTCACCTTAAGAAAGATAAGTTATCTAGCAACCTTTCAAGAGTTTCTGTTAAGGTCAAATTGATAAGTGAATACAAAAGTGTTTTATAAAATGCCAACTTCTTTTAATGTAAGAGATGGTTTTTATAATGATAGTGATAACAAGCTTCATGTCATACTGGAATTTGAAAAAAAAAAAAAAATCACAGTGTAAAAGTACCTCACTAGGAAGATCAAAGGTAAGCGTTAAAATTTCAAGTGAGTCAATTAAGAGTTTTTCTCTTTGTTCTAAGTGGGACACCTGGATAGGTGTGCATGTATATAACTACCTTCAAAATACATGAAAATGGTATTCCAGGAATGCTATTTTTTAATCACAAAATTGAGTAATGTGATCATTTTAATCAGATAGATACTAGAAATAGTCATCACAAAATATTATACAAAACCTAGAAATCTTAATTACTAATTCAATTCTCTTTTTAATAACTTAAAATAACTGCATTGGGCAAGTTAACAACAATTAGGCAAGTGTATTTCCCAATCTTTTCATCTAGCCAAGTTTTATATTGTCTTATTCAATTAACTTTGCACCCATAAAAAAGAAAATTTAGGTCTGGTCATTTCTAAGTAAAAGCATAGCTACCAGATCTTGATTTTTTTTTTAATCTAATAAGTCCAGTCATTTATTTGTCCTTTGAAACAGGTATGCCTTATGAGAAGGGGACTGTGCTATGGTTTAAGATATACCATATGAAAGTTGCTCAAAACAAAATTTTACACTAATTTTATTTAAAAGAGGGGAAAAGATCTACTTGTATTTAAGTAGACTGACTCTCCTCTTGCACTATCCTCAAAGCCCACTCTCTACTTTTTTAATAAAAGAAGTATAATGAAAACACACATTGAACAAAGCTTGTGTGTCAGCTAAACGCTCTATATAAATTATTTAATCCTCACAAAAATCCTAGGAAGAAGGTATTGTTGTGATGTCCAGTATGGGCTTTGGAATTGGAAAGTATAAGATTCAAATTTTGGTTTTCCATTTTGGCACAACCATAGCTATTCAGATTCTCAACTTTTGTTTTCTCATTTGCTGAAATGGAAATAATAATACCTATCTAAAAGCGCTAATAACATTAAACACCATGTGAGTGCCCATCGATTGAACTAAGGTCTTAATCGATATTTTCTTTCATCAGAAATTTCCAGTGTTTAATCTTTGAGAAGATGGTTGGATAGAGGTATAAAATTAAGAATGTTAGTCATGAATTTCTTAGTAACAGAAATTTACTATTTTGAGAAAGTTAATTCATGCCTCAGTTCTATCATTTGCAAAATGGGTATAAATCTTCTTCATATGATCCAATGTATAAAAAAGAGTTTCTGTAATACCTATTTATTTATATAAAATTTCTGAGAGAAAATTAGACTATTAGCCTGCATATATACATATATATTCTTTATGCAAATTGAAGCGACTGTGAAGGGTATGTCATTGGCTAGAAAGGTTAGCTTTTGTAATGATGAAAGAACTTGCTAGTCAATTTAGCATAACTGTTAAATATTTATGCATAAGATTACACTATTTCAATATATTAGAAAGGATGTAGGAAGTACGTAAATATATGGACAAAATAATGTTGATATTTGTTGATTGTTATTGAAGTTATTGTAGAAATGAATATGTACAGGCTCATCATATTATTATACTATTTCATCTTTTTCTTTACATATTTTAAATTTTACAAAACAAAAAGTTATAAAAATTGGTAGGTTTTTCAATATTGATTTTAAAGTCTATCTTGATAATGATAAACCTCTGAACGCTAATTAAGGCAGTCTAAAACTGGGTACGTATATTATATTGAATTATTCCAAGAGAAGTTTCAACTGAACTGGAAGATATACTTATTTGCAAATAAAATGGGCACAGTTTTATTGTTCATAACATGGCAAATGAGAATATTGGCTTCAAAACCCTGAATATTTGTGAAGAGAGAAAGGAAGAAGCTCTGTTTTAATCTTTAATGAGCACCAGGGATTATTAAGTGATACAGTACAAGCAGACTTCCCTCTATCTCATTTCTCAGACCCCATTTTTAATGAGCATGCTTTGTCTGACACCACTGTGTTCTGGATATCTGTCTCTATCAACAGCATCTATATAAAATATTTTACCAGTTGTGAGGTTCCCAAATTTCAAGATCATGATAATATGTCTGTCTGGCCTTCTGGCCATTGACTGAGCCAAGCAAATGTAAAATTTTCCTCTTTTTTTATCAGATTTCCCAGTAGAGTGTACAAAGTTTATGTGCTGCATTTGCTAAAGCAGCTTCCATGTTGCAGAGGACTTGTGGAAAAACATTAGAGCCAGCAGACAAGGCCCTTCCACATCATGGACCTACTCACAAAGCAGAACTGTACAAATTAAATAGAGTAATCAACAAATATCTGTTTGGGTCCTGGATTACCGTAGATGTATAGTGAATGCGCACACTCTCAAGGCTTAGATTGTGAAAAAGAAGTACCTACTTCATTTTCTTTCCATGAACCCCACTTTCAGATTTTCATATTGTCTGAACATGTGAGTCTTTTTTTTTATTTTTTTTTTGAGTTGGAGTCTCACTCAGTCGCCCAGACTGGAGTGCAGTGGCCGCTCCTGGTCACCGCAGCCTCGACCTGCTGGGCTCTGGTGATCCTTCCTCCTTAGCCTTCCGAGTAGCCGGAATTACAGGCATGTGCTACCACGCCCGGCTGATTTTTTGGTTTATTGTAGAGATGAGGTCTCGCTGCCCAGGCGGGTCTCGAACCCGCAGCTCAGGCAATCCACTCACCTCAGCCTTCCAAAGGCGCAGGATTACAGGCTGAGCCACCGAGCCCAGCTCATGTGAGTCTTAAAAGAATAAGACTTTAACAATCAGAAGAGAAGTTTAGTAAATTATCATTTAATCTAGATAATATGAATTAATCACCATGCCCTGTTTGTATACTAGCTACTGCTTGAATTTTAAATACTACTTTGATGTATAGAAAAATAAATATAAAAATTATAAACATATTTGCGTAAAGAAGCATCAGTCATAAATACATAAATGTAGTGCTTGCAGTGAATGTGATCTGATGCTATGCATAATTCAGTGAGTTAAATTCTGAATCTTTCATCCTAATTCCTAAAATCAAAACTGGTTTGTGTTTGTTTTGAGAGCAACATTGAAGGATGAGATGATGGGAGAAAACTATTGTTGAGCGTGGTTCATTTTTACTTTTGAATAGTGGTTTTATTCCCATGCATACTGAACACTTTCACGTGTTCACATGTAAGTGTATAAAACATTGCTATTTTTCAAATATCTGAACATGTTCTCGGAAATATGCAATAGCTATTAATAACCACCCCATAAGTGTTTGCTAATGAATGTATAATAGAGTGAATTAATAATCAGTATAGAGAGATGCCTATATAAAGGCAGCTTTAACACAAATAAATTAAGACTATACAAAGTCAAGCAAGTATTCAAATGGAGCACTGTATGTTATTTAAACTATCCACTCAAGATAGCTGTGATGAGATTTATGTCAAGCATGTCTTGATTTTATTTTGTAGTGTTTGTTCTTTTAATTCCAAAGAGGATTCTAAAATTGAAAATCAAAATGTCCAATGACTGGGCTTGTCTAAATGGAGACACATTTTTATCCTGTTATCCCTGTTTAGCCGAATAGGCTTTGAGACACATGATCAGCGCAGCCATGGGAAGATTGAGTGGTTGCCGCCGCCGCCTCTGAAATTCAGTAAATAAAAAGCAGCCATGGTCTGTGAGTCCGTAAGTCTGGCACTTTTGAAATCATTCCATTCCATTAAATACTCCATTTATTTATTGCTTGGCTTTGATCATGAAATCAGAAAATTCCCCCTTCCAAAGCAATGTATGTAGGTTTAAGAGATCGAGCCTTCTCAGGTAGCATTCTTATTCATGGTTGAAAATTTGTGATTCACAGACAGCGCTAGGTTGGCAGTAGGGTCATCGTGATTACCTGCTCCAACAACTTTATCAATGGATATGTTGGTGGCATCCAGTTCCTTGGCAAACTCGTGAACTGCTTGGGTAGGGTCTTCATATGTATGTGGGTCAACATAAGTCCTGAGACCTGGAAGTTTTACTGTTGATGAGAATGAAAAAAAGGCTTTAGCTCGATTTATAAAACCATTTTATAGAGCAAACTTTCTGATAACATTATTGGTTTAAAAAAATATCTCCATCACAATAAGTTGCACAACTATAGTTTATTCCATGGTATCACAGAAACTGGCAGAGACATTAGACTGTGTTGAAATATTTAAGAAAAGAAATTCTCCATGATGAATCATAAAGAGGAGCTTCAATGGGCTTGCTCTGTAAAAACACTAGAAAAAAATGGACATTCAAGAAAAGGGATCTTAAGAAGGAAGATGGTCCAGAATTGATTAGGCCTATTCCTTACTACCATAGCATTAATAAATAGACACAATTATGTTATTGTATATTTATAATTATACAAATGCTATGATAACCAAATATTTAATGGCAATATCTGACAATACATCAATATATATATGAGATACTTTTATAAGGTGAGATAATTGTTATAATTATAGATTAATTAAAGGAATAAAATGGTATGTCTTCTAACAGACACCATAGTGCTTTTATTTGCATTCACAATCAAAACCTCCCATTGCAATTATAGATCTATGCTAAGTTGTTAGCATGTGTATACATTTTATATATACACATTTTTATATATATAAAATATATATACATATATATTTTATATATATATACATATATATACATATATATTTTATATATATATATACACACACACCAATATAATATCAATTAACTGAAATACTATTATATAGCTTTTCAACATAATTAAAGGCAATATAAATACTGTCTATGAATTTAATAATGGTCCTAAGGAGTTAAGTTCCCCAAATAAACCATATATCTAATTTATTGACTACAATTCTCTGTCATGATACATTTATGTATTAAATTGTTTAATTTTTATATGGTCCTATAATTATAATATCACAGACAATTGACACAGGAGAATCATTTTGGACTTGAATTAATGTTAATTAGATTTTTATTATTTGGAATAATAACACATTAGAGACAACCTCCAATTTTCAATAAGCTGACTTTCTCTGGGAAAAAAAAAAACCTTAAAGTCTCAAAGAGAGAGTCTGCTGGGCTCAGTGGCTCAGCCTATAATCCCAGCACTTTGGGGAGGCTGAGGTGAGTGGATTGCCTGAGCCCGTGGGTTCACGACCAGCCCAGGCAACTTGGCAAGACTTCATCTCCACACAAAATAAAAAATTAGCTGGGCATGGTAGCATGCATCTGTAGTTTCAGCTACTTGGAAGGCTGAGGTGGAAGAATGGTCAGAGTCCAGTAGGTTGATGCTGGGGTGGCCATGAGCGTGCCACTGCATTACAGCCTGGACAATGGAGTGAGACTCCAACTCAGAAAAAAAAAAAAACGAGAGAATCTAAGATCTATTAACGTAGATAAACATGCACTGACATGAAAGGAAACTGCAATTTAACACTAATAGTATATCTACAAATATCACTGATTTTGTTTTTAATTTTGGTAACGGATAAAATTACTTTAGTATGGAACATGGATGCTTAAGAGTGCATATTTTTCATTCATTATATGAAATTATTTAAGGGGTTTTTATTCTAAATATAATGGAATAAAATCAGACTTCACCATGTCAATATTACTTCATAAAGGAAGAATCTCATTGGCAAAGTGGCAACTGAATACTGTATGAACAAAAGATTTCTTTTTGTAGTTGGTTTGTGCAAAGTAGGTGCTGAGACTATAGATGTCAGCCGTTGTTCTGGAAAGCCTTCAGCCAATGAACACTAGACGAACAAGGCCAGGAGTTCACAGTTTGTGTTAATAAACCATCAGTTTGCTGAACTACAAGGTAACTTCATGAATTCCACGGCTACGATACATCACAATTCATGTTGCTGTGAACCTTTCATAGAGCTTTTGAGCAAAGATCATAGGCCTAAGAATAAACGGGTTACAAAAGAAACGGTGGTTAAGAGAGCAGATGGGTCAAAAATCTGTTTTCCTCTGCTGCTCTTGGAAGGCTCTGATAGAGCATAATAGAAGAGGGGGTGGGGAGCAAATGGGTAAGCAAGGATCACACCACTCCTGCTCCTGCCTGGTGCCTCCTGCTTGAGGCAGGGTGTGGATAATCTGAAAAGTCACCCCTGTCTAGGAGGCCAGCATCCATGGCCACGGAGAGGTTCAAGTCGGACCCTAGCTTTGGGCGAACTGAGAGTGGAGGAGCTTTTGAAGTGAGAACTCTACTTTGGGAATGTTTCTATCTTGGATATCTCAGGGAAAAAACAAAAAAAAAAGCTAGGGCCCCCAGAGGGAAAGTTCTACTATGCAAGTTCCTAGAATGGCAGAGATCATTGTCCTGATTAGTAGTTTAGGGTGAAAAATGTGTATTCACAATTATTAATATGATTGAAGTTTCCTGGTGGTAAGATTTAGGCTCAGACATGTCCATTTCTCTAGAACTCATAGATCAGTTTGCATGCTTCTCCCATAAAAGTATTATTCCTATAAAAGCAGATGGCAGAGTCACCCTCTAAAACAGTGGTCTACTGTCCTGTGTATCATTATGCTAAAATGAATTCTAACACTATCAGTACAAAAATACTTTACCTTAAAAACAAGACACAGATTAAGGAAAATATTTTCTAGTTTTGGAGTAAGGAAAACTATAAAACTCTATGCAAGCATAGCATTACTAAAATATGTTAGGAAATAAAGTCTTGTTAGAAGTTTAGTCAATTTAGTTACAGTTTAATGAAGCCACATCAGATTGAGTCTAGGATATATATGATCTGACAGTTCTGATTTGCTTTTACTTGGTAACAAGAAGATAAAGAAATCTAGCAATTCCTTTCAAGGAAAAAAAATGACACTTTAAGCATAAGTGGAATTTTTGTTTGGTTAATAATTGCAAATATTTTACCTTGCTGACTTTAAGAAAATAAGTTTGGGGAAGATTTGCTCACATCGCAATTTACAAAGATTATAAAATGGATTTTCAGGAACAATGTCTCAAATATTTTAAATGAGCGCTGGCCTTATTTTAAAAGCCTTGAAAGTATGCTTTAGCGTGACCTTCAGCACCAATCAGTCCCAGAGAATACGTGCATTAGCAAGTAACCTGGGAATTAAATAATTATTCCCAAGTAAAATCAATCCTATTCATTGCTATTAATTGAAATATGATAAATTGCTTTTCCATCCACACAACATTTGAGCGGAGGGGGGGGATTACAAATATAAACACATACATCTCCAATCCCCCACCCTCAAGTAAAATGGTCTGTTCACTGTAGGAGCTTTGGCTGCTGACTTTTAAGGGTTGACCCCAGAGGCTCCAGGAATCAGGTGATTTGGGCTGCAAGACACATAATCCCTTCACACCAATAATTAAGGGCAACATACAGCGTAACTGGGCTCTGTCATGAAAACCAGATAATAAACACATGCACACGTGTTAAGCTGCGCTACTTTACAGTTCGTTCTGTGCAAACACAATAATTTACATTTCCATTTTACCAGCATGAGTTGCCCTTAGGATAGCAAATAAGTAAAAAGGCCCAGCCAGAAAGGGCAAGGGGACAGGATCTTAGGAGGTGAAACACATTTCTTTCCTTTTGAAGCAATATTATAGGATTTGTAACAAGGCTGGAGGGAGCAGTTCAGAGCTAGAGCTTTTTAAAGTGATACCAAATAAATGGTCTGAAATAAACCAGCTGTAAGTATTAAGAGGCAGAAAGTTTATAACATGCATATAAGTTACTTTATGCCTATGCAGTCAGGATAAAATGCATTTCTTTTTTGTTTGACTATTATAAGGATGTTGTTGTGCATTTGGAAAAAAAAAAAAACGAATTAAAGTTTCGACAAACTCTACCATAAAAACTAACAGCAAAACAGACTGGGATGATTCAGGAACTGTTTACAATTGACATACAGAAATTTATTAAAGCCTCAAATTCATAAGTCTTACAATTCCCATAAAAAAATCAAATCAGCATGCTCTTGCTCTAAAGATAATATTTTCATCAGTTGTCCAACTCAAACTGGAGAGTGATTTAATCCACAAGAATGTCATTGTTCTGACTAATTTATGCATGGAATTGGTAACACAAGCGTTTTTGTGGACCCATTGAAAAAGAGGAAGACAAGTATCCTATAACATGTTCCTGCACTCTTTTTAGACTTTTGAGTTGGTAACCTGATTAATCTGGACTGATGTGGATATTAGAATGGCTTTTTTTGTGAATTATTTTATATTGACTCTGCAATGAGATGAACAAAATAATGTTTCTGCACTTCTAGTACAGTTTCCATCTCAAATCAATTTACATTTTGGAAGACATACTATTTTTTTTCTTCTTCTTTTTTTTTTGCCAAGATATTGTATCTTGCATGTTAGCAAAGGTAATCAAGTTTTTTCACCTGAGTAATCACTAAAGGTGTTATTTTTAGTGACGCTCTAATGGCTGATAGGAAGTATCATGTTGATTTGAAAATAATTTTAGAAGGCAACAAGAATGCTAGAGAAAGTAACGCTTAGAAGACTACATTAGTTACATAAAGATTATTTTAGGACATATGAGCGTGAGTATAGTCTTTGTACCAGTTTCCATGAGAACATGTGATTCCTTTTAAGGCCACTGATTAGCAATTGCCACACTAAACTGACCCAAAGTTTGGAAAAGCAAAACACCTGGGATGATTTGTTTCACTGGAAGAAAAAAACTTGAGTCTTTTTGTAAGTTATAAACACTTTGTTTCCTAAAAGCATATTTCTTTTTTTAAAAACTATTAAAAGAGGCTAATTAAAACGTGAAGGGAAAGTTCTAGCTTTACTACTAGTTGGATATCGCACAACTCCAAAATAAACAATTTATTCTAAAGACTCTTTCTTGGTTGGTTGACAAAATGGGACAAGGCACTTCACATAAACAAAGGTTGTTTATATTTACTTGGCAGTTAGGAAAGAGAAAAGTCTCCTATTTCGATTTTAGCAAAAGACTAGTAATAAGGAAATGGAAGCTACGCTTTGCATTTCAGCCATGCAGGCTGACTATGGTTTCTCTTACCTATCATATGCATTATTTAAATATAAACCACAAGTCACCCTTTACTTTTTAACTTCAGTATGCTGAAATGTAGTCATGTAAAAATTACTTAATGCAGAGCCGTGGGTTTCTATCTCCCTTTGAAATAAATTTAATATACTTATTTTTTCAATACAATTACTTTGCATTCATCAGGAGGAAGCTGCCCAGTTATAAATCAAAAACTACTCAAACAAAAATGGCAAAACCAAACAAAAAGCACAGTTTAGAAACTCACGGTGCCCGTTCCCAAAGTGAAGTCTTTTTTCGTCTGCACCATGTTTTGACTTGTAGCCACAAAACCTAGAGGTAGATCACAGGGAGGGAACACGTAAGGAGAACGTACTTAAAACAATGATCTATACTCAGAATGTGCAAAGCACACAAAACGAAGCATTTTCCTCAAACAATTAAATGCTTTAGTGAAAGTTTAATGACTTCATACTTTCTAAATCCTCGAGAAAGCCTCTTTCTCGGGGGACCCCGGAGGCCTGCCTAATGAGGAGATATGGAGAGCTGATTCCCACCGTGCAGACTCCTCCAGTGCCATTTTTATAATGGCCTCAGAATGTGTTTATAGTATTTTTTAACAACTACTGTTAAAAAAAAAAAAAAAGGGTAAAGTCTCCATTGGTAATGATTGGTGCTGTGCAGTGTGACCGGTGTTCTGGGTGAGAAAGTGTCAAGGAAATCTGGGGTTATTTGAAGAGTGAGGAGATAATTGGGAAAGGAAAGTGAAAACCAGGAGTGGGGTCAAGAGAGAGAGAAGTGGAGTGGTGTGTGTGTGTTAAGAGTGGAGACAGGCATGGAGGGGAAAGCAGAAACTCAGAACTAAGGATGGCGAAGAGAAGAAAGAGAGGAGAGGACCCAGAATATAAATGGAGTCATTCTAATTTGTTAAAATACTTGATTGGCCACAAGCTTCAAACATTAATCGCAATCAAGGGTGGCAAAGAAAGCAATAATGAAAGTAAATAGTAAAGCAGACCAGTGACTCACCTCCCAATCAGAACATAGACGACAACGGTGAGGAGGATGATTGCCACTGCAGCAGAGATGGCGATCATGACCACTTGACTATTTTCACCAGAGATGGAGAACGCTGGGAGAATGAAGAGGGAAAACAAGACAAGAATGGACATTGCTACATTTCCAACAGAAGAGCCGATAAATTGTCACCATGTATTCTGCTTTTACCTGAAGAGTGGTTTCATGTCTGACAGTGTTGAACAATTAAAAACATGGATATTTCCCATAATTTTGCTAGAAATGGCTGCGCAATTAATAAGATTAAAGACTCTGTCTCCATGGCATCAATCAAACACCATTTGAATGCCTACTGGGTGAGATACGCTGAACTGGTTTTCTCTGTCCCCATGGGGGGGGAAAAATTCATTGGATCAACCAAAAGTTAGCAGAAGAACTTAGACAACAGGTACACATTTTTCAGTATAAAATTACGAAAGCCTTCTAATAAAGCATGGTTTGCCTCCAATATTTATATTTGTTCAGAAAGTGGTATCGTACTTGTCTCACCGACCTCATCAAACACCAAAAACAAATTGTTTTGTATTTCCCACCTGTGTCAATGTTTCCATTACTGATTCATTACCTAGACAAGCGGTTGGTAAAAGGAGCCAGGAGTGAAATCTGCCCTGCCACCAGTTTCTGTATATCTCACAAGCTTAGAATGGTTTCACATACTTTACATGACTGTAAGCAGTCAAAAAAACATGATTTTGTGATGTGAAAATTCTATGGAATTCAAATTTTGGTGATATCAATCAAGCTTTATTGGAGTGTGACCACAAGCATTCATTTGTGTATTGTCTATGACTGATTTTATGCTAGAATGGGCCATGTAAGTAGTAGCCACAGAGACTGTGTGCAGAAAACTAAAATTATTTATTATCTGGTCTATTACAGAAAAAGTTTACTGACTCTTGGCCTAGGCCAATGTTTCTCAAACTTTATTGTTCACATGAAACACGCAGCGATCATTATAGAAAAGCAGTTTTGGATTCAGTCAGTCTGGAGTGGGGACTCAGATTTTATATTTCTCATGAGCTCCTGGGTGATGCTGATAATGCTGCCTCAAGATATTTTCAGAACAAGTAAGCTAGACCAAAAATATAAGTCGCCTTGTCCTCCTCCTCTCCTGATCATCCTACATCCAATTAATCACCAGGCCCTCTTAAATATCCTAGTGGATATCTTCTTTTCTCTTCTGGATTATAATTAGAAAATCCTAATTGGTCTCTATGCCTGTCCTGTCTTTTACCTTGCCACCAAGTACTCCTTCTAAACCATGAATTTGACCACGGCATTCCTGTGCATAGGATCTTGGCGTGGCTCTCCATCACTTTCAGGATAAAACACAAATTCTATAGCCAAGCACGTAAAGTCATTTAGGACCTGTCCCCTTTCTAAACCCCAGCCTCATCCCTTACAAACTCCATAGCATCCTAATCGCTAGACTTTGTAAAACGCACATAGTTCTTGAAACAGTCTCTTTCACATGCCCATATTTGCTTATGTTGCTTTGTGGTAAATGCTGATTGAACACAGGAACACACTATGGCTCAAACAAGGAGGAGAGCCTTTAGTTATTTGAATGCTTCCCCTGCCCCCATGAACCAGAATGGCAGCATCTTCAAACTGATCACATCCACATTTGGAAAATTTTCTCTAAGTACATGGTTTGCGGAGTAAATGTTGCAAGAAAAGAAATGTGGCAGATAGGCTGTTAGAAGTTTCCCATTAGAAGCATCTGAAAAAAGAGTTCAGGGTGTGGCACACTCATAAACTGTCGCAAGTCCTTTGGTCTCTACTGACAGCAAATGATTGTTTATGCCCTTGTGGAGTCACAGGTGTGCCTGCTCAGATGTTCCTGTTGCAAAGAGGACAGTGAACTGATGGCCTCTGGCTGCCACCACAGCCTTCAAGCACTGCCACGGTCCCCTCAATGACTATACCAGGCAGGGTACAGAGGTACAGGAGTCTGGCTATCCTGCCCTTTGCAGGACTCTCTGAACAGTTCATCTGCACTCTCAGGTACCCCACTGACTTGGCCAAGTTCCCCAAGCTGCACGGAGGTCTAGGGCTCTCTCTCCTCGTTCCTTTCTCACTTCCCTCCTTCTCTTCACAGGAGACAGACCTGCATCTCAGTCTGAGGCTCTGTCTTCCCCACACCCCTGCTCCACCCTCCCTGTGCCCTTCGTGGGTATTTCTCCCCTAAATCTCTTGCTCTGGTAATTTCATCTCGGTATCTGCTTCTCAGAGGACCTGGCTGATCCATCCCCATCCATGTACTGTAGATCTGTGAATAGTTTGTAAGATAGCTGAACCCAGGGTTTCCAAAATATTCCATAAACATAGAATGATGGCAAACTCCTGCTTTTTACTTTGTATATGTAATAATTTATAGCTAGCAGCAAGTTTTAAATTCTCTGGGCATTTTGATTAGCCAGTCTAGAAAATAAAGCCCAGTGAAACTGAGAGGGAAGACATGATAGGAGAAAGAATTCTCCATTTCTTTTTCTGTCAAAGATAGAATGAAACTAGACTTCTCTACAGTTTTGTCTAACTTAAATACATATGAATTTCAGAGAATACCTAAAGCACATAAATCAGATCATTTTTGCTGCTGAAATGAGCAAATATGTGAATGAATAATATTGATGTGTTACATAGTCATCTAGTAACTTAACATGGTATATTGCTAAACCCTGATAGCTATTATATTTCTTAGAAATTCAATTTGAATTTTTTCCCCACAAGCCAGCTTCTCTGCCTGTTTCTAGTCATTTCTCATTTTACTCCATCCTACACAGGCTGCCGGCTTTCTCTCCTGAAAGTGGGGTGGTAAGGAGCTCGTTGTTATGTGCCAGAATGCTTGCCTTTGTATGTATTTGTTGTGTGACATAATTTAGTTGTTTGAAAATTAAACTAATATACTCAAACACTTAGAACAGTGCCAAGCATATAATATGTGCTCACTAAGTTCCATATTTTATTACATAATGATACATTTTTCTAGTGAAAAATTTGCAAAAATGTTCTGTTTCCTACAAAATTCAAGATGAGTGTCTAATTTTGAATGACACATTTCTCTATGGAGTGATTCCATTCCACCTTTGTCAGGATTCCTTCATGTCCCCTTACAATAGGGTCTGAGAAATTAAAGTGGCTGCATGCTCACTCTTCAAAAACCAAGAAAAAGGAGGTTTGAGGCATTCCGGAGTGCTAACTTAATTGTCTCTGGGGTTGTCTTCTGGAATGTTAATATTCAATGGACTCCTCCGATTCCCAAACCCAACTTTAATCCACAGATTTTTATTCCTGAAATAAAATTATTATTATTTGGGTGTTCCAATTATAGACTACTTATTTAAACACAAAACAAATACACAAACAGTGAGCACTTGCAATATGGGGTAATATTTTAAGCACTTTATAGACAATAACTAATTGAATCAGCATAAAAAATCTTTTTGAGTCTGTACATGGTCTTCTCCAATTTCCCGATAGCAAATCTGAGGCATGAGACTCAAAATGGCCTGTCAAGATCACCCTAAGAATACTCATCTACTACAGGGTCTCTGCTCTTAACTCCTACCTTATACCTAGTTTTCTTGGTACAAAGCACACGCTCTGGATTCAGTTTCTGCCTACTAAGGTTCCCAGACAATGGACTGTCTGCTTTTCTCAACATGCTCTACTGGCTATATGTCTTGAGTTGGTGGGCACTGCCTTTAGGACAGGAAAATCCTTTTACTCTTATGCACTCTGACCCCATGCTTTCTATGGGTCTTCATTTAGCATCTTTTTTTAAAATCACGTGCAATAGCAACACTGGATCAGGACTCCAAAATCTGAAGATTCTAATTACTAGATATCCAAACTCAGAAAGAACACATAAACCCTGGGCCTTAGATGATCTATAAAGGGAAATGATAGTATCTGACACACTCACAGAATAAAATCAAAGGAAATGTCTGCAGGACTACTTCATATACTGTCACATGAGTTCTAGAACCAGACCCACGACCTGTTAATTGTGTGGAAAGCTTACTTAGCCTCTATATGCCTCAGTTTCCACTCTGTAAAATGAAGATGAGAAATGCAAAGCACTGATATACAAAAAGTAAGATATTTTAAAGCACTTAGAAAAACATGTGCTCCACTCTGACTTCATTTCTTTCCTATAAACCAAGTTCAGAAATGTTACCTAAATTTTAGCTCAAAATGCACTGCGTTCTACTAAGAAATATGTGTATGTGTTATGAACAAGAACTTTCCATGTAGTTTTAAAGATTAAAACTTTAAAAACAGTGAACTGATAAAGATATCCCATTGGAAGTATTTTTTTTTTCTGTTTTGTAAATATCAATGTATAACAAATAAGACCCTTAAATCCTTTGAGCTCTTAGAAATAAATCATTCTGGCTTTAAAAATAGAATGAGGGTTGATTTTTGTCTTTTACTTCCTAAAACAAAGAACACTTTTTTCCACATTTATATTTAAAATCTAGAAGAATTCTATAATGAAACAGTAAGAGTAAATTGAATTTAAAAAAAAATCCAACGGTGCAACTCAGTGTTTTTTTATAAATAAAAAAGAGGGAGAAAAATTTCACATTTTTTTCTGTTCTCTTTTCCTCTTCTCTCTCTCAAGCGATGGAAGTATTGAAGATACCAAACATACTTGGCAAAAATCCTAAGACCCTGCAGTTTTCAAGAGATAGACCTCATTTCTTAATAGTTGTCAACCTCTGGTACTGAAGTCTTATCAGAAGTTTATGCACAAATGCTACCACAATAATATTGGTGGTAAATATGGAATTTTCAAAGTCGAACTTTTAAATTTATTTTTGTTTTTGCAAAGTTACTTACCAGATAGGGTTAAATGTTGATTAAGGCCATGCAAAATTAGATAAATATTCCAAAATATGCATCAACATAAGAAATGTGTCTCTAATGGAGATCTGACCTTCCTGCTTCATACTATGCCTTATTTCTACCACAAGATATAATAAATATTTTTTCCCCTTTCATACTATGCCTTATTTCTACCACAAGATATAATAAATATTTTTCCCCTTTCATACTATGCCTTATTTCCACCACAAGATATAATAAATATTTTTTCCCCTGTAATTTGGGGTCTCTCCTGGTAAATCAATTATAGATTGTGCTATTGCTGTGAATTAAATATCCATTTAAGAATCTGCAAGAAGTTCATTTGTAATCATTTCAAAAGGAGAAACTTTCTTTGTGCCACCTAGCATTTACAAAAAGATTTAGAACTACTAATGGTAAGTTGCAATTATATTTTATTATTGGGGGTCCTCTAAACTTTTTAATTTGCTTTAAAACTTGTTCACTTAAATTTCCGTGATATTTTATGTTTCATTTCTAATATCCTCAGAGAGTGATTTCTCAAAGCCTATAGCATCAAATAAGCACAAAAAGAAGTCCTTAAGAATAGTGTATGCATTTCAGGATGGAAACTCTTCATTGAGTAGAAGAGTTGTCAAGGTTCAGCTGTGGAGAGATGAGTCCTAAAAACATCAGAATCTCCACCCCTGGCAGAAGTCACAGTCCTTTATTGTAAGCAGCATCTCCAATTGTGTGACAAAAAGTATGCCATCAAATTTTACTCCATCATGTTAGCTTAAACCATTTTAATATTTTCTCCATCAGTTCTGGGTGTTTCTATTAGGTATCATATTTGGGCACAAAAATATTGCCATACCAATAATACTGATTTTATGTCAAGACCAAAATATTTAGAAAATAGAAAATGGAACAGTCAAAAGATACCTGGGTTCCTTTCAGGGGAGTTTTGAGCCCTTTCAGACTGTTCTGGATAATTTTCATTCTAAAGGGTGGTCATCTTTCTAGGCTATTTTAACTGAATCTGAGTTGTAGAAAACTGACAGAGATCTATGATTTTTCACATGACAAGTCAAATAAAACTTATTTACTGGAGATGCGACTGGTTTATGTCCTGTAAAAGAGATGGCCTCAATCATTACGCTTATTGCTCCCATTTGGATATTAACAGCTTGGGACATATTAGGAAATTTGTTTACGTAATGCTGATTAACTAAACACACACACACACACACACACAAACACACACACACACCCATGTGTGTGTGCAGGTACCTGCTCTTCAAATTTTTGTTATGAACAGGTTTTAACCACTTACAAGTCTGCTCATTAATTAATAAGTTAAATACAAATTTTAACTTGTATTTGTTTTATATTATTACAATAGACATGATTTTGCCTTTTTAAAAATTTGATTTTAGCAGAGGGCTTTTTAAATATGAAGCAAATGCACTTGAGAAAAAGAAAAACTACTGAGAAGATGTTTGCCAATTTTGACCAATTTCAGCCAAATTTGAGGTCAATGGACAAGCTATCCAAATTGCCTGTGAATGTGAATGAAGCGATAAAACATTTTAGAAATCCTTATTCTCCAAGTGATACACTATTGAAAGCATCAAGGATTAAAACAAAATTAAAACCCTCATGGATGAACAAGTTTCTCTTTTGTAGTTCACTGAATCATGCAATGAACCTAGAATATCTTCAGTGACAGGCACTGGTAGTGTGTTACTATATTAATGTTTCCCAAAAGCAATTTATGTCTAATAGAAAACCAGAAGAATTTCAGGCATTCGAATATGTTTGATTTGTAAAACAGAAAAAAACAAAACAAAACAAAAACCCACAAGATGCACACATGGCTGTTAATTCAAATATCCATTTGAGAATTTGGAAAAAAAATTCATCTTTAATCATTTCAAAAGGAGAAACTTTCTTGGTATCACTTGACATTTGCAAAAAGATTTAGAACTATTAATGCTTTTGTTTTTGTTTTTTGAGTGGGAGTCTCACTGTTGCCCAGGCTGGAGTGCAGTGGCACACTCCTGGCCATTGCAGCATCGACCTGCTGGATTCAGGCGATCCATCCACCCCAGCCTTCCAATTAGCTGGAACTACAGGCTCACACTACCACTCCTGGCTAATTTTTTTATTTGTTGTGGAGACGGGGTCTAGCAAAGTTGCCCACACTGGCCTCGAACCCCTGATCTCAGCCAATCCTCTCACCTCAACCTCCCAAAGTGCTGGCATTACGGGCTTGAGCCACTGCACCCAGCCTAGAGCTACAATTATTAAATTGCAAATGTATTTTATTATTGAGTCATTTAAAGTTTTTAATTGTTTTTAAACCTCGTCTGTTTGAATTTCCAAAGTATTCTATGTTTTGTTTCTAATATCCTCTAAGAGTGTCTACAGACACAACGCTCTACAAATTGTTCAGTGCAAATTGCTAAATGTCCCAAGCAATATCACATTTGGTGAAAGCTTAGAAGGAGTGAGAATAAATGACCAGACACCTTTTGCAAGAGCCCTGCTCCTTGCACACACTACACTGAAATGATACATACAGTCTGGACTGGTTTCGAATTCAAACTTGCGGCTGTTGGTCCCATACCCAGCGGCTGTTCGGGCGCGGATTTGGAATACGTATGTAGTGGCAGGCTTGAGGCTACTGATGGTGACATTTGTGCCTCTTGCCCTCAGAATGGTGTAACTTGTCTCTTGTTCCTGCTTTGAGGTAAGAAAAAAAGACATGTTAAAACCAAGTCTCCGTAATGCTATAAAATGACAGTGAACCGCTCGAGCTCATCACTTCTTTTATATTTTAACATAAAACATGAGATGAATTTAAAAAGTCATGCCAATGATTTCATTCTGTGAATGCAATACAGGCATTTTTAAAAGATGGAAATATGGAAAGCATTTTTTATTGGGATATTATAATTTATGCCCTGCATATAAAGCAGAGAAAGTTTGTCTTACTAATTAGTAAACACGAGTAAAGATACGTTCTCTTCAAAGTCAAGGCTGAGAGGAAGCTTCAACCTAACTCCAAGAATAAATTTACAAAGAAGAAAATATCCTTTTGAATTAAACCTAATAGGAATGCCCTACTGATTCTCGAACAGAAAATATTTCTATCAACCTTAAAATATTAAACATAAAAAGTCAAGGTTTTATATGTAGCTCTAGATTGATTTTTTTAAGCATAACTATATTCACACTGCTTTTAATCTAAGTCACTGTGGTTTAGTAGAGACAAAAATCTTCAGATCAAAGTCTAAAAATATTTCCCCAAAAAGATCTCTCCTAGGAGAATCACATTGTACATTAGATTCACACTACACAGTAATAGCAAAGTCTCCTGTGTCAAGGCTTGTTTACAGAAACTGAATTTACACCAAATAGTGTTTTTCCTCTAACATATATTAATATGTACAGAGCTCCTATGGGCAATCTGATTTGATAATATGAAACAATGCGCGTCTTTGACCAAATCTCGACAGAATATTACAGAAAGCATGGCATACATTACAGATACTTTTAAAAGTTAAACATAGTGGTTATGTATTTGATAGCACT